GTATTTTCATGCTGGTTCGAGCATCCGTGCTAGAGATTTAGTTCATTTAACATGGCATCGAATCGGATGGGAGTCGTCTGCAAAGTTGGACGCGGTTTTGCCTTCTGCGGCTGCTGGGCTATCGCGCGGTTCGAATCAAAGCCAGCCAGCCAGCCAAAGGCAGCGCTTCCTGGCCATGTTGACAACTAAATAACGCGTTAATGTGTTTATTGCGTATGCCACAATGTCCCCAGAGTGTTGCATAAGTCCCAGGTAGGAGCTGGAACTGTGGCTGTGGCTGCAACTGGGCAACTCCAGCATTCGACTTGTGTTAGGTGTCGCGGCCAACACATTCGCGCTGCTCTGCTCTGCTCTGCTCTGCCCTGCTCTTGATCCGCTCAACACTTGCGCATTAAACATGAGGCGACCGCAGAACGGCGGACTGGAAAAGAAACAGAAAACGCGTTTCACGCCACCACAGCCCACGGGCCAGGGGCTTGGGCTTTGGCTTGGGAAAGCCTCGACGACTGGTTGCACTTGAGTCCGGAGCTTCTTAACATTTATTTATGTATTTATGAAAACGTCAAGAGGCCAGTCGATTCACCGATAATCATATGCTGCCCTGGTCAGCATACTATCTCCCCCTTCTCCACCTCTAATGTCAGCCCAGAAATACATAAAACATTAGTTTTCATAGAATAAACATTTGGCGAACATTTTGCAGTTGCATTCATACGTGTTTGAGTACTCGGTACCAAGTCTCACTGTCACTCGCCACTCGAATGTGTAGCAATAAAATTCTGAATTATTGGGGAGCATTCAGATGGATTGAACAAAGCAGGAAACCCTTGTACGTAGGCTGATGGAGAGCGTGAGCAGTTGCTGCTGGATGCTTGGGAACTTTCAAGTTCTCCTTTCGGTAAAAGGCTGACAACGGAAATGCAAGCCCTCCTCCTGCTGCTGATTGCTGCTCCCTTGATTAGATCTGCATTATACGCGTAGAGTTACCTTGGCTATTCCTCCGGCCGCACAGGCAGCTGCATTTTGTCTACCGAATGGGTAGATCAAACGCTCGCTTGTCACGTGCCTCACGTGGCACGCCCCCAGCCTGATTAAATTAGCAGAGTTTTCAAGCCACTATCGACAGTCGGAGAGCTACAAATGTGAGGTAGGGAAATAAAACCCAGTTTCGCGTAATTGCCCGTTTCGGATTTCGAAGCTTGACACAGACACAGAGGCAGAGGCAGAGGCAGGCGCAGGCGCAGCAGCTGAAATTTGTGAGACATGCCCCCGTCTGTCTGGCACTGCAGCGACCTCACACCCTCTCTCCATGGATTGTCCAACTCAGTTACAAATGTCTGACGACCTTACGCAGTACGGGTCTGATGTTTGCCGCCAAATGTCACTCAGAGTCAGAGGCAGAGGCAGAGAGTCACAGTCAATGTCTTGGCTGAGCCGCTGACTGAGAGAGAGAGAGGGAGAGAGCAAATTAATTCATTTTCAACACCTATTTTGACAGTTCATAAAATACATTTGTCATATCGGTCAGAGGCAGCAGCGACCACTGCCACTGTCTGCCCTCAGACTGGTCAAGATTTATGTTGCCTCATTGAAAATGCAATTCAGAAAAAGAGAGACCACAAAAGAGAGACTACAGTCCAAATCCAAGTCCCAGTCCGAGTAGGAGTTCGAGTCCGAGTCCGATTTCGATTTCGATTCCGCCTCCCTGCCACATCAAATTTGTCCCTTGCTTTTTTTCGGGATTTTCGTTTCGTTTTGTGAGAAGCGGCAGCAGCCAGGGCAGGCCCCAAAGCGAGTTGCAAAAATCTTAACAAAGTTATTTTAGCAAACGGTACGACAAAAAATGTCATGTCCTTAAACATTGCAACAGAGGACCAGAGGAGGACCAGCGCTGCTGCATCGCACTGAACCGCAGAGCTGAAGTGAGCTTTGGTCCAGTGCTCTGCAATCGATATGCGTGCAGATGCTCCACTTTGATCAGGTCATCAGCGACACATCGTTCATCATTCCAAGCGGACGGTGCGCAGGAATGCAGCAGGAACAGGGACAGCAGCAACAGGAGGAGCTATGCATGACCAGTAGCCAGGTTCAAGACAATGGGCAAAAGCCATGAAAGGAACGCTTTTCAAGTTTTACGCCAAAGACCCAATGTCTGGGCTGTGCTCGGGTTCGGGTTTGGGTTTTCGGTTTTCGTTGTACTGAAGCTGAAACTGAAGCTGAAGCTGAGACTAAACCTGAGGCAGAGGCTCCCAGGGCCCGTCGCGACTTTGACGGATGAATTTCACAAATAACTTCAACTGCAGCAGCTTCTGGGCTTTGGTCTGTTTTTTTTTTGTTTTTCGTTGTTGTTGTTTGTTTAGTTTTGTAGTTCCTTCTGGTCGCTTGCGTTATTTATTGTACGAGTATTTGGCATGGACTCACGGACACACCAATACCAATTTGGTATGGCGAGTGCGAGTCAGAGCCGAGAGCCGAGAGCCGAGAGCTGAAACTATAGCTGGACGCTGGAGTTGGCGTTGACACAAAACCTTGTTGAGTTTCGGAACGCAACCGCACGAATGACAGCAACGACAGCATTGGATGTCCCCGTTGTGTCTAAGTTTGGTATGCGTCATTTTTACAAGGAAATTCCTTTGCCTTTGCCTTTGCCTTTGACTCTGACTCGGAGTCGGACCCTGACTTTTTGTCCTCCTGCTGCCGCTGGCTGAGATCCTCCTCCTTCATTCGAATCCGATTTTGCTGCTAATTTATGTAACAAAGTAAGTACAGCCAGGGCAGTCCTAGCTACCCTGCCCCCTGTCGTCTGGCTCTCAACTCTCAATTAGAAACCATTGAGTACTCCTGAGCTGAGAGAATTCGCGAATTCTTGCCGGAGATTTTAAATTGAAATCGCAAAAAGCGTTCACAAATGCAAAAATCCTCTTTCGAGCTGAAATTCTTGGCCTCTTCTTGGCCATTGTCTCTGAGGGTCCGGGTCGAAAAGGTGTTGATTTAATGAGGCTGAGGGCCAGCAGTGGCAGTACCATTCAGGGCCTCGAACATAACCAACAGAAGGCGACAGCTGAAGCCTGTCTTGTCTGTCCAACCCCATTGGGCTGTGTTTTTTATGTGCCATTCGATTGCCGAGGACTGAGTGAATCTGGAATTCAGCTTAAAACTAAACCAGCCAAATGTGTGATTGACATTCCCAGCTCGAGATACTTTCAGGGACTGCAAGATACTCCTGCGAGTGTGGATACTGCTGCTGAAATGTGTTTTCCTAGCTAATTGTGCAGCGAGTCAGTGTGTAACAAGCGAATGCCACACTCTATGAGAAGATAATGCACAGCTTCCACTCGCGCAGTATCTGTTTCTCTCTCCACTTTTGGGTCTGCTGCAAAACGATGCTGCCTTGAGGACATAATGGAAGCATTCATTGAGCCTGTAAAAGCCTGCCAGCCTCGAGCATATCCTGTTGCGTTCTTTTATGATTAATGGAACAGATTTTTACGCTTCCTTCCGCACTCGCACACACACCCTCACAGATACGAGTGTGCACACACGCTCATCCGTTGAATGCCACTTAACTTTTTCAAGTGTAATGCATTAATGGGTGGCATCTTTCCCTGCTGCTGCCTTGAATGACAGCCAATGTCCCTGAAAGTGGCCCTCTTGCCCCTGCCCCTGCCCCAGCCTTTTCATCACAATTTTATTACAGTTTTCTTTATGTTTTTTATTGTATTTTTCGGGTTTATTTTCATTTGTTTGATTCGATTTTAAAATAACTTTAATTACTTAAAATTAAGGAGGAAAAGAAAGGGGATATTGTGGAAGGGGGGAGGGGTGGGGGGCATATAGAGGCTTTGAGGAGGGGCAAACGAATCGCTAGGCTGTACCATTTTTGTTGCCATTTACTAGATTAACACTAATTAATTAAATGCTAGCACATGATTTATTTATTATGTTTTTGTTCCTTTCAGATTTTCTATGAATTTGATTTTGTCCGTGTTTTCTGAAACGTAATTTTACTTTATTTGCTTTCACTTTCTAACTTATTGTTTCTTTACCATTTAATAGTTTACAATTCAATCACACACACACACACGCGTTATCTTACACATACCTATACACAAATGTAGACACACACACACGCACGCACTTTAAATGTAAAACTATCAATTAATTATGAATTAATTTTGCTGTTGGTATAAATTAAACTAGAGTGAAACACACGCACTAACTACCGCTCCTAATCTACAACTAAAATTAATCCATAATTACAGCTACAGCAAGCTCAAAATCGAATCGATTCACGTCGCATCGAATAGCACTTAAGAAACAGAATTCATATTTCCATTTCCATTCTGACTGAGATGGAGATGCCGAGAGATTGTTTTATTGGCGATTCAATTGTGGTCAATTCAAGTAGTATTTTGGAGAGAAAGGGGCACAACTTGTTAAGTATGGATATAGTAATATTATTATTGCACATTAAGTGAACGAAGGTTGTGAATGGGTAGGCATATGGGGATGGGTATGGGGTGGGTCCTCTTCCAAGTGCAGTTTTTGTGGGATCAAAGAAACAAGGTTGCAAAACCACAAACAAACAAACAAATAGTTGGGAGAATCGAGGGGAATTCTTCTTCTTGCATTTGAGATCTGATTTTACTGATTTTTGTTGCTCGTTTTATTTCGCATTTTCTACACAAGAACAAAATATTTCGAAAGAAACTCTTAAGATCAACAGCTGATTTGTTTTTTTTTTGTGTTCATTTCATTTGATTTTTATTTACGATTTACTTTTTTATGCTTTTTGTATTTTGTTGCTTCTGTTGCGCACTATATATATATGTAGCTTATGTTTTTGTTTCATATATATAGATAGGTTTATACATAAGTTAATTTGCTAAATTAAACAAAATTAAAGGACACGTTTCATACTTGCTGCTGTGTTTTTTGTGTGTGTTTCTCTTGAGGAATGTTTTTAAGTTGTGTTTTTCTTGCTTTTTTTTGTTTTGTTGTTTTATAGATTTTGTATTTGTGTGTGTGTTTAGATAGTAGCTAGACTAAATTTTAGAACGACTTTATTCACGTTGGTAAACATATTCATATTATTTTAAAATGTACAAAATTCTCGCCATAGCTTTTAAGTTTTCTTCTCTTCTCTTCTCTTCTCTTCTCTTCTCTTCTCTTCTCACCTCCGCTCTGCTCTTCCCTTTTGTTGGATTTTGTCAATTGTTTTTTCATTGATATTTTACAGGTTGCTATCATGGTTTCGTTATTGGCTAAGATATTGTGTGATGCACTGGCCCGCCCACGCCCACGCCCACGCCACCGCCCAGCGTCCCGCTGGCATAGTCCTGCCGATGCTGCTGGAGCTCTAGCTGCAGCTGATGCTGGTGCTGCTGCAGACCCAGATCTGAACAGGATTGGTGTAGATGCAACTGATGTTGCTGCTCCTGCTGCTGCTGGTGCTGCTGCTGCTGCTGGTGATGATGCTGCATCCAGGCAGCCGAGGGCAGCGTGCTCGGATGCTGTTAGACCGCCGGCCAAACGCTGTGGATTGCACAGAGCAAAAAAAGGCAACAGAGGTGATGGTTAGCTTCATTCTCGAGTGTCTCTATGGGGTATATGGGTTACTGCGAAGATGGTGTGTAGCACTCACGTTAGTAATGATGGATTCGTCTCGGGCTGATACCAATACTGGGGCACGTAGCCACCCATTTGGGGTGGCGGGTTGTGGTGGTGCGACTGCGGATGTGGCGCTGCCGCCGCTGGATGAGGTGGCTGCGGCGTCATTTGCTGTGGCGGCTTGTGGTCGATCCAGTGGGGTTTCTGGTCCCACGGCGCTTGCGTTGGCGGACTGAGACCCGTAGGTGGGAATTCTGAAAGAGGAGGGTCAAAGGGTTAAGCCAAGTGGAAGGAGAGACATCAGGGCAGATGCCACTTACCAGGTGATAGCTCGGACACGGGCGTACTCGATGGCGTTGGACTGTGTCCGGGAGGTAGATAATGTGAGGGGGAGCCGCTGTTTGAGCCGCCGCCGTTATTACCGCCTGAGAGAAAAGAGATCCTTTAGTGGCTGATTCCCTTTAGAGGGACAAGGACTACTCACCACTGTGCATTTGATTGGGACTATGCTGACCAGGATTGGGGCCACCTCCGCCCAGAGGCATGCCACTGTTGGTGCCCGGACCCTGGGCGGCCTTCATCATCTTTTTGTACTTGGAACGTCGGTTCTGGAACCAGATTTTCACCTGCAAGACAGAAAAAGAGGACAAGAGTTGATCATTATGGGGCACGGCCAGTGGGGGGAATCATCGCTAATTAGACGCCAAATGGTGAGTGTCGAAGTCAGCATGAGTCGCACTTTATTTGATCAGCGTGTGAATAGCGATAAATGCAAATGAAATTGCCCACGGGTAGCACTAATGCGGATCGACAGCATCCTTAGGCCAGAGCAGAACCCGAGTGATAGATACAGCCAGAGCCAGAGATACGATTACAACTAAAACAAACAACTCCTCAAACAGCATTTCGTATGCAATTAAGAGTGAATGGTCGTGAAAAGCAGCTGGCAGGAAAATGGCTCTATAAACTATAGTTTTTGGCAGCGTGCGATACACATAAAAGCAACTGAGAGTCTAACACACACGTCTTAATCGAATGTATTTTAACGTCCGAGAACTCGTATCTTTGTTGGGGCAAATGCAAAGCAGACACTTGAGCCAACAGCCAAAATGTACTTTCAGTTTTCATCTTTAAGAGTCTCCCGCTCCAGCTCCAACTGCTCGTAGAACTAATTGTGCGCTGAGCTGTGAGCTGGCGGAGCACTTCACTTTTTTGAAAGCCAGCCCCAAGATATCCCACAGCGCGTCTGAGACTGCTGTGACTCAAGCAGAGGTATCTGCGAGTGAGTATGTTTGAATACAGATGCAAGCATCAGGCCACAGCGACGCGTATCTAATGCTAGTTATGCGCACTCTTAACTGTAGATACAAATCTGCAGCCTGCAATCTTGCATGGCGTCCGTCCACATTGTGCCTGCTCGTACTCGTACTGTATCTATGTATATGTATATAGATACAGCTATATAAACTTGCCCGGCCAGACTTGCTCAAGGTCGTTCTTCGCGGTTGGTTGGATTTTTGTAGCGCCGCCGCTCCAAGCTCCGCTTTTATTTTCCAACGTTTGGCAAATTTCACTGACTTGGTTCATGTTTAATTTTATTTTAGCTACTATTTTGTTTTGTTTAGGTTTGGATTCAGCAGATTCGGTCTTTATGTGCATTCCACTATGGGCGCGAGCTTGTGTGTTGGAGGCCTGGGCCATCGATTTCAATTAGCCGATAGCTACCAGAATTGCCTGTTGTCTGATGTTTGATGGGGGGCTGAGGTAATCCATTGTCGGATCATTGACATTGGCATCCCCAGTGCCCCTGCCCCAGCTTCGCCGACGAACGGTAGCCGAAATCCACAAACAAAATTTTCATTTCCATTTCATTTTAGTGCTCAATCAAGCGGTAAGCATTTTGTGAGTCTGGGCTTTTGGGCTAGATCAATTTAGTGGAGAAACACAACAACTAAAGACAAGTCAAAGAGCCTTGAGCACTGTTGGCTTGAGGGGGAGGCATGAACTTGGTAAGATCTTAAATACAAAACATTTAATAAGTACATTTGTATGTGTACCTTTATACAGATACAATATGTACATACATCTGTGTGCCTGTTACGCAAGGGAGGCCAAGCGACAAATCTGCGCTGAACGATCAAATATAGTCGAGGTTCTCCTTGCAGCCAAACAGTCCCCAAAAACTGAACTCGCCCAAAAATGTTGCTATGCTCAGTATTACACATTTCTGGTTTGCTGTTCATCGCTTTGCGCTAAAATGAAGTTAAGCAAATGTCAAAGCTAATGGCCAACAGCCTCTCAATTGTCAGCTTACAAAAATCTCAACAAAAAACACACATCTATATAAGTAAATTTAAATGGATATACAAACGGGATATTGTACATGAAATATCAACTCAACAAGTTCCCCTACGAGAAAACGAAACACTGCGAAAAAATAGAGGGGCAGAAAAGAGTTTGCATGAGAGTAAAAGTGTCTTTGGGAGATCTCAGACAGTCCGTCAAATGTCAATCAGCCTTATGGTGTCCCACCGTCGGCGTCTGTCTGTGGGCACTTGTGTCTCCTCTCTCTCTCTTTGCAAGGCTCTGAATTTGTACCACTTTCATATGAACAAATATGGCAAAAAGCAGCAAGAAATTAGCATGTCACTGTGTCAACTTGAGGCAGCCACAACAGCAGCAGCCACAACAGCAGCAGTAACAGCAGCAGACAACAGATCGAAGTCGTCTCTGTGGCATTATCCTTTTAACCCACTTCGAGCGGCTGGTCAGATGGTCAGATACTTGCTTGATCACTTCCGCAATATGTCACTTGGCATATAATTTATGCAGTCAATGGATGGCAGAATGGATGGCTGGCTGGCTAGCCAAGAGTCTGACTCGAGCCGGAGAGACACAGTCGGACATCTAGTTGGAGGCAGATTACAGATGAGTTTTATGACGACGGGAACGCGCTTCTCCTTCAGCCAGAGTTCCAGCCAAGTGGAAGTGGACTGTAAAATACGATGACGATCGCAATGATGATGATGATGATGATGATGATGGAGCACAGATGATACTGAGGTAAGGCAAAGAGTGGACACCACTTGGGGCTGCCGCTGACTGTTGTGGGCTTTCTAATTGTGAACACTTGCCGTTCGAGCGATAAAACTTACTCACAAAAGATACGGATAGAAGCAGGGGAACTGTGTGGTAAGGGGAAAGGGGCACACAGAGAGTGAGAGAGTGGTAGACACCTGCGTGGCTGTTAACTGGTTTCGTCGGGCATTGCCAAATGTGTCCCCAACCCCAACCCCAGGCACTCCGCCCCGCCCGAGACAGACTCTAATTCATTTGACAGTTGAGCATTTAAAACGTGGGAAACAGATAAGCCAATTGCCCAGAAAACTCTAATAACTTCATCTGGCCTCCATTCGACCATCGATTGATTTGTGTGGGAGAGCGAGAGACCGGCCGAAAAAGGCTTTTCCATTTGCCTTTTCCTCGGAAACATTTCACAGCTTTTCCTGATAAATCTTCGCCCAGCGAGCTGCACGCCCCCCCTGTCAAAGCATAAATATGGGGGAACTCCTCACACATCTTTATTTACACTGCGCCAGCAAATAGAGAAGACAGCCCTGGACAGGGCCTTGGACACGGATGCCTACGCCTAATGACAGCCACAACGCCCCAAAAAAGTAAACCATGGGATAATGTCTGCTGATACTCGCTAGCGAGAAAGAAGTGTAGCCTGGACTGGTGAAGCAATGACCAAAGCTGAGATTAGATTATCCATGGATATTACATTTGGATGGAATAATGCTCCAGCCAAGAGTCCATCTTCCTCTAGAGTATCTGTGGTTCCCTGTGCTGCCTGATGACTTGCTCAAGCAAATGCATTTCCACTTCGAACCGGGGAGGATGTCTGACTAAAAAGCAACAAAAATGTTTATCGCTTTTCCCGGCCAGCAGCAGCAGCAACAACAACAACAACAACAACAACAACAATTGCAGCAAACACAGCAATGGCAAGAGCAAATAGCGAGGCATGAAATGGTCTCAGTTTTGTTGCCACAAATTTATGGCTACCAAACAGAGTTTTCCCCTCATTGTTCTCAGCTTGTTGCTTGTTATGTTTGCTGATGTTGCCCCCGCTGTGGCTGCCCCGGCTGCCCCGGCTGCCCCGGCTGCTGTTTGCTGCCTTGCTTTTCATTCATAAATTCCGTGCAACAAGATTTTAGCATTTTTTCTGCACATTTTTGGTGCGAGAAATTTCAATTTGCTGGCCAAAGCGGTTAACATGAAAAACAATTTTCGGCGGCTTCTTTCAGCGGCCGCTTTGAATTACGGCCCGGCCCGGCCCGGGGCATTGTCTTAGCCGTTGATTAATGGGCTGCAGGCGGATTAGCCAGTACACTGATTCCCCGATTATCGATTCCCGATCAGCAGGCGCCAATTGTACATTCAGCTTCAGCTTCAGAATCAACTTCTATCCGCACTTGAAAGTTACATCCCGCTCACGCCCTGTTAGATGTGTTAGATTAGCAGCCAGTGATCACTTTCGTTTAACTTCTGGCTCTACCTGCTCTCCGCCTGCCTCTCTATTAACTTTAATGGCCAACAACTTTCCTCTGAGACGCTTCCAGCACGCGCCATCTGGACAAGCGGTTGTAATCGCACTGCAATCGCCAGCAAAACGCGCGCAACCCGCGCGGCAGTTTTTAATTTATGCAAAAAGGAAAAAAGAGCTAACAAAAAAATCACGAAAATCATAAAAATTCAAATAACAGATAGAGCGTGTGAGAGTGTGAGAGAGAGAGAGAGAGAGAGAGTGACGGAGAGGGGTAAAAGACTGCTGGGCACGGGGGAGTTGGGGCTGAGCGAAAATAAAATAAAAATTTTGATTTATGATCTTGTCGCTGAAGTTGTTCG